ATTTAAGGCTTTATGTGAGGAGGATTTTAAATTTAAAGTTTTCAGTCTTAAAACGGGGACATTGTCTGTTCTGCACAGATAAATCACACCCTGCCAGAGAAGATAGTGGTGTATCGGGACGGTGTGTCTGACAGCCAGCTGAAGTTGGTGGAGCAGTACGAGATACCACAGGTGATCAGATGCTTCGAGACGTTCCCCGCCTACGAGCCCAAGCTGGTCTTCATTGTGGTCCAGAAGCGCATCAACACCACTCTGTACTCCTGTAAGGAAAGCGGCTTTTGCAGTGTTCCACCAGGAACTGTCCTGGATCACACCCTCACTCAGAGAGACTGGTGAGTCTAAAGTGAAGTGAATGTACACAGAATGTATAAAAAACGTTTAGAAGTGACCTTTTTAGAAATGTTTGAAGAATATTGCTCAAAGTAGATCTCTGGATAGAAACAGGGAAAATATACAGGGAAATTGGAAAAATGAAAAAAGTCCTTTTCTTTTTAATGATGGTGAAATCACACTGGTGATTCCAAGTTATTTTGAATCCATTATTGGCATTGTTTTCTGGCATGGACCAAAACAAACGATAATTTATAGCAAATGCCTTTATAATCTATGCACACTACTATAGACCCAAAGTTTTTTAATAGTTTTGCACTAAACAATGGAAGATGACACATCTCAACGTGTTAAAACAGTTAATGGACAGCTGGCCAAAAAGGTGTTGCATTCAGGGGAACATGTGAACTGGAAATGTCTTTAAAAACATCATCAATATGCTTGTTTATGTCATTGATTTTGAAAAACAACATCTTTGATAGAAGCAGCTTGCTTGAATACTCAGCACAAATCTTAGAAAAGAGTGACAGATTTGAAGTCCGTGTTCTCACGGTCCCTAAATATAACAGCTTGTCGATTCTTTTTTTGCTTTTATTAATAATCGAATCATTAACAATGGAATGGAAAAAGGTTGCTCAAAATAAATTTTATACAGTAGCTAAAACTGTGCCCTCTGGGGACTTATGAATAAAGCATACTAATGGACAACATCTTGAATGCAAAATGTTTATATTAGGGCTGAAACAATGAATCATTTAGTAATAAAATTTAGAGACTCTAAAATATGTCTTCAGCGATCAGAGCGACCCACCTTGAGCACCAATTGTACCAAAATTGTAAAAAAAATAAATAAATGTCATTTAATATATTAAAAAACGAATTTCCTCTGTGAAAAAGCCTTAGTTTCACTTGCTTTGATTTCGTAAAAAGTCTTTAAGGAATCTTTTGGATTATTAATCAGTTAACCAAAAAAGTTATCGATAGATTAATTAATTTGAAAAAAAAATATATATATATACAAAACAGTGCTTAACTAACGATAATTTAGCAATTTTGGTAAACTAACTGCTTTGAGAGGGCTTGCTCTTTCAGCTAAAAGTCAGTTTTTAGAGTCTAAATTCAAGTTAACTATTTATCGATTGTTTAATTAGTTGATGATTGATTAAATTATTGATTAATCGCAATGACTACTAACCCGTATACGGGAGTTAATTTTTCCTACAAAAACAGTCCAAAAAGCCTAAATATTTCATATTTAAGTATATTTTGATAAAGAATAAAAAAACTATTCTCACATTTTTTTCTAAACATTTATAAAAGTGAGACTTAACCAGCAATCTGCTCTTAAAAGGAAGGGTGTGTTTTTCATTGTGAAGCAAGATCTATTGTTTAAGATTTCCCTGCCTATAGCTGAAAATAAAAATCACAAAATGTTTCATAATAAATAACCATATGATTATCATTTATTCAACAACAGAATGGTCTCTAATTTCCAAATTGTGTTAAACTTCTAAACTTTTCTTTTTGCTTTAAGCCCTATATAATGCTTGGATTCATTATTTTATATTTTGTGCCTGTTTTTAGGGTGGACTTTTTCATGATGGCACATCACGTACGTCAAGGTTGTGGACTTCCCACCCACTACATCGCCGTCTACAACTCTGCAAACCTCACTCCTGATCATTTGCAGAGGTAGGTGCTTCACTCATATTGTCCTGGCTTACTTTTTTTATTATTTTTCAAACTGCTATACTGATCATGCAAGAGGCTCCGATACATTGACCAGGAAGTTTAACATCTTCTCAAAAATTTATGTGGTGAGAGCACTCTTTGATGGTGCTGTGGTTAGTGCACACGACCCATGTACGAAGGCCTTAGTCCTCAACGCGGACGAGCCGGGTTCAAATCCGACCTGTGGTCCTTTCCCACATGTCTTTCCCCCTCTCTCATACCCCCTTTTCTGTCAGCCTGCTGTCCATACGAACTACAAGCTTCATTGCTGAAAAGCAAATTAAAACACATTAACACATATCCAGTGTCTGACACTGCATTTTCCTATAAAGTAAAGGACCTATCTAGAGTTTTTCCTTGCTCAATTCAGTTTGCAGTGCATTGTGGGGGCTGGATGGTATGATCCCATTTGCAAATGTTGCACTCAGCTGACTGGATATTTAAGCACACCTTTTAAACCTGCTGCTAAAATAGATGGTTGGACAAACACTTCTGCAGATTCTTTGTTGGTATTTAGCTGCTTCTTCCTCTGATTGGCATTTTAAATTTCAACTATCCCTGGAGAATAAATTTGTTAACACTGGTTCCCATCGATTCTCGGTGCCTGGTCCCACTACTTTATTACCGAGTTATTGTTGGTCCTTTTTTTCCCTAAAAAAAGTCAACTGTATCCCTAACCGGTACTAATTTGGTTTCATTTCAGGCTTACATTCAAGATGTGCCATCTGTACTGGAACTGGCCAGGCACCATTCGTGTCCCAGCACCGTGCAAATATGCCCACAAACTGGCTTACCTTAGTGGCCAGTACCTTCACTCGGAACCCTCCCTCCAGTTGTCCGACAAGCTTTTTTTCCTCTGAACCAATGCTTAACAGTAAAGTTTGTATTTTTTTTCTTTTCTTAAAAAGTTAAATATTAGTTTGAATGTTCCGGTTTTTTATTCCTTCTGTTTTAATTATTTTAATAAAATCTGTTGTTTTAATCAGTTCTTGAAATTAGTGTTAAGATTTGTGCATTGAACACATTTCCTTTCATTTAAATGCAAGATAGTTTTTTGGATACTTTTAGCAAATAAAAGGAAAACCATTTTCATGTGCAATGAAAGTTGATTTACCGGATCCCTTTACTCTTTACTTGACTTGCTCTTTTAAAGATTGCCATATCAAGAATAATTTTAATTTTCCCTTTATTTATAAATAACAACTTCTGTTGTAATAAATGTTTAGGTTTTCTGGGTTGGGGGTTTAAACAATTTGCAAGCCAAGCAGTTTAAGTGGCTTCTATTGCCATTGACTATTGTATGGACAAGTTTCCTTTTAAAGACATAAGCATAATCTATACCATAATCTTTTGCGACTTATTACTGATTTGACATTAAAGTCAAAAGGGTACAGAAAGTCAAAATAGACATATTTTCAAATGAATGTACAAAAATATAAATGTCCCTTAAAATAATGAAATGTAACCTAGCTAATACATAAGTTAGTAATTAGATCAATCACTGAATTATGAAATGAGCATTAAATGTGCCATTAGATACACTTTTTAAATATTGAATAATTTTCATGTTTTGAAAATGAATTAAATGTATAGTTAAAAGATTTTAATGGTTTCTTTACAGCAGACTTTGAAATTATTTAAACTTTCACCCATAGGAATGTTTTCTTTTTTTTTTTAAATATAAAATATGCTTCTTTTCCTGGGAATACATTATTTAGCAACAAACTACTGCATTTACACAAAATTAACTTGCAAAACAAATAAAAATGCTGCAGCAGAGAAATGCTACAATTAGAAAATAGAGACCAATAAAAGGCAAACTTTTGCGAAAAATGTATTCAACTCTGCAGTCATGTTAAGTTAAATGAGATGGATTTCACTCTGTGGGTAATTTATGATCTTTGCAAAAAAAAAATGAGAAAGCTGATCTTATCACACCTTCAATTTGAGGGAAAAAATGGTAGGGGTGGCCAGTGATTGGCTAAGGGTGGACTGGCCCCTATGTAGCTCCGCCCCTGATCTTGACCTGGCCAGATCGGAGCGGACCCTGCACATTTAGAATATGTTTGGCTCAACCTGCTTCTGTGAAGCAGGATTCAGCACTTTAATCAAAAATAAATATGGATCCAGGCTCAAAATGAGCACCTTGATTTGTGCTTTAGAATGGCTTTGTCTCCATTCAAACCCCGGTTTATAGCCTTGCACGGCAGCTTAAAGCCCTCTGCTCTCATTAAGACAGAAAAAAGAAAAAAATGGTCAGTTCAGGTGTTTTATATAATATGATAATCAGGAAATTGTCTATATACCAAACTGATTGTTATTCTCAACTTCAAAAAACACTTTAGATTTTAAAAATTTTCTATTTTTTTTTATATTTAAAAATTCTATGTGTAACATAAATCCATAAACGTCAAATTTTATTTCAGTGTTCAATTCTGTTTAAAGTAACAATCATTAAAAATGTCTCCGGACCTTTATGGGTTGATGACTTTCTTTATCCGGACCCCGCTGATTTTAATTGGTTACCCTTTAATGTTTATAAATATTTATTTCATGTCATGTGCGCCATCCAATGCAGATCACTGGCACCATCCACATCTAGTGAAAACTAGTGTAATTGGATGAGTGATATAACGCAAACACTCATTGGTTAGACAAAGGAATCATAATAAGGAAGCAGGTGTTCTTCAAACTGTAAACGTGAATTGTCTATGCCATGCTACAATGTTGGATTCAGAAAAAGATGTTGAAATATCTGAAAGTATCAAGAGACGGAGACCGACAAGACCTCCCTCATCCTTGGCCCTATCTCAAAGAATTTTTCTAAATAGTCAAAAAATTTATCTTTAAAAAATAGCCAGATGCCGCTATATGAATTAAAAGGTGACTTTATACTTTTATACCTTAAGTCGGAGCTCTTCAACAGGGGGTCCGCGACCCCGAGGGGTCCACGGAGGTACTGCATGGGGGTCGCGAAAGTTTTGGTTAATTAGACTTTTTTTTTTTATATTCCCTCCTGCAAATTTTTTCCACTAATTGAAACGTCTTTAAATCCACATTAACATGAAATAATCACACTGTCGTAAACAGATAAATGGAGGCAGAAGATGTCTTTCAGTCATCAACGCACACATTCAGCAACACACAGGAGCTCTTTCAAGCTGGACAACGTTTCATTCACAACACCTGTTCCATCTACGAGGAATCAGAATCAGAAATACTTTAATAATCCCAGGAAATTACTTTTCATTATTCCATCGTTAATAGAGTGACTATAGTACCAGTTTGATATAACATAATTTCATCCAATATATATAATTAGGGGGTCTCCGCTCCATCTCACCATCAGTTTGGGGGTCCTTGGCCTGGAAAACATTGAAGAACCCTGCCTTAAGTAGTTTTTGGAGCACATACTTTTTCATTTATACTTGAGTAAAGAGGTCAAGCTGTTACTTCGACTTTTACCAGTATAGACGAGGCATTGCAACACATTCAGGCTCGGTCTAGCTTTATAAAGTCGCTGTGTAATCTGGTTTTCTGACTGTTCTGCGGCACTGCTCATTGCTCCTAGTGCTGGAATTCAGCAGTACCAGGACAGACGTGTTTAAAAAATATTTTTTATTTTTTAGACATATAATCTGACCGTATAGCTTAAAGGGTTTTGTGTTTTACCATAAGATGTAAGATCTTGTGCATAAGTGCAATGACTAATTAAAGAAGTAGAAGGAGCAAGTGGAGCCAATGAACTACAAATCAGTCTTTGATTGGTTAAAACATGGCTGCAATAGCACAACTAATTTTTGGCAGTTGGCACTATTTTAATGGGGGAGAGAGCAGAAGCAAACGAAACAGAGTTGAGACAATTTAGTCGCTTGTTTTTGACAAAATAGGGCACTGGTGTAACGTCAAAGGGTGCAATCACTTCCAACCAGAAAACAGTGAAAAGTAGTTTACATTTTTTCACTTTTCCCACTTAGAAAAGGAAATATGGACCACAGACATAACAAAGAGACGCCGGGATGCATGGGTTGCTGCAGTGAGATATCTCTTTATTTAATATAAATGTTTCCTCTGGGCATTTTCATAAAGGTAGACCTTTTGGCATGAAAAAATAAAAAAAACAAATATTTAATGCTTTAAAGTTCCAATATTATTCTACATTTAAAAAAATAAAATAATTTAAATAATCAGGTCCCTAGAGCATGTGTTTCCCATTTGTACAAGAAAATTCCCCTGAACCAAAAAGCTGCGTATTCAGCCCTCCTCTGGATGAGCTGTTTTGGCTTTCCACGCCCCGTCCCACAACCTGCAACCTTTACAACCAGTCAGAATTTGCAAAGATAGCCTAGGAGCATGGTATAATACTTTAGTTGAGGGCTGGAGCTCTACCAATCGGCTGTTACAGATCACTCTGAACAGCCTATTTCTCCTTTTGAGCCCACTTCAGCTAAGAGGTGGAGAGCAATGAGAGAAGTGAAAGGGTTTTATCACTTGTGATCCTCCTGCAGGACACATATGAAAGTTACAAAATAATTATACTGTGAATTTTACATAATATGGGACCCTTGAGGGATAAGATATGAGTAAAAGTGGAGTATAACAAAGACTTGTGATTACTGATGCAAAAACTCAAGCTCCAGAAGCTTAGATATTGAAGGATGTGAGTAAATATTGTCAGTTGATGGTGACAGTATATGACATTGTTGATGTCTGCTTATCACTCCCAGTGCAAAAAATATTTTCAGACTCAAAAGGGACATTGGAAGCCAGGTTGATTTATTATCTATTTATCATTTCAGTAGCAAGGCAATTCAAAGTGCTTAAGGTAAGAAAAAAGAAAAAGACTGCAGTGGCTTGTTCACAGCACATGTAATTAAAGAAAATAAAAGTAAATAAGCGAATTATTTGAAAGAATATATAGTATGATTTATAGAAAAAGAGAATGTTTAATGGACCTTTACAAATTACATTTAAATAGCGCAGCCAAAATTCACTTTTATCAAATATGTTTCTAATCCGTTGTGTAAAGATGTTGAAGATTAGCCTGTTTTTCAGTGTAGTCCTGTTTCTCTGACTGTGACTGGCTGGAAGTGTTCTCTTCATCCTCTGACATGGGAGCTTGGTCGGAGTTTGTCTGCTGGCTGAGTGTTTCCTGGACGGGGCCGCCTTTTACAGTTGCCTTTTATATCTCTGCTTCTGTCTCCTTGAACCCCAGTCGGCCTCTGCAGATGGCCGCTCACACCAAGTCTGGTTCTGCCGGAGATTTCTTCCTGTTAAAAGGGAGTTTTTCCTCTCCATTGTCGCTACAAGCGTGCTTAGTTTGAAGGATTGCCATTGACTCAATGAGTCCATGCAATCAACTGGTTTTCCTTAGATGGAAAACTTTGAATCAGTTTGACTGTATGATCTGGTGAACTGTAAAGTGCCTTGAGATGACGTGTGCTCAATGGCGCTTTATAAATACACTGAATTTAATTAAATTGAATTGAACATCTATAAAAAGTATGGAGAAAAAAGCATAAATGCAGCTGTAGGTCTATATTGAATGCCTGGTAAAGTTGTGCTAACTACAATATACCAGTTTTTCCCAAATTCAGTATGTCATTTATCTTATAGGGAAATGACCTGGATTTGAATAAAGGTTTACATGCTTCAATTTCAGTCATAATCTCCCCAGTTTGGACTCCATCATATGTTCCAGTGATGACAAAGGATCTGGTCTCTCCATCTTCATAAGTACGATTGAGGATGGCGGTGAAAGGGATGTCCACTTTGTACAGGAAAGCAACCATATTGACTCTGCAGCTGCTGCTTGGTGGTACAGTAAGCTCTACAGAGGCAGAGTGGGAGATCTCCTCTATCCAGGTATTTCCTTTTGAGAACACATGGGTCGTCTCAGCACTTAATTCAATACTTTTATCGACAAT